ACACCCAGGCAAAAGCAGGTTTGGGAAGAGTCACCTGGGGGCCAGGTGAAGGTCAGGTTAGCCAAGGCCAAGGCCCAGCTGCAAGATGCATCAGAATCCCCTCGGGTGCAGAGGGCGGGAAGCTACTGCAAAACGAGCTCGTGCCCCATCCTACCCCAACCGTGCCTGAGCGTGTATGGGATAGGTTCTGGACTGGCCCTGGGATTTGAGGAAATGGGTCCTGCGTGAAGATATTGGGGCGCACAAGCTAGCAGAGTGAGGAGGAATGTAAGTGCCAGAGCCCCCTCCCCAGTGAAGGGCCGGGGACCTTAGGCACAAATGCAGGACACAGGCCAAGCTGGTTGGGCTGGCCAAGTGATGGGGTAAGGATGACTCCAGGTGGTCCCCTGGTGGTCTCCCCCTCCATCACACCTCGACCTCCATGGGTGCGCGTTTCTACCCTGCATGGATAAGGGAGCAAAGAAGCAGGTGCCAGTGTGCAGCCAGGGTCAGGTTTGTGGGTCAGGGTCCAGATCTGTGTGGGCCTGCAGTGTGTCGCCGTGGGCACATTGGACTGACCCAGCTGGCACATGGGGATGGTGGCGCACACGAGTCTCCTTTGTATAGGGATGCGTGTGCCCCTGCGTGTGTGTGTCCTCCACGCTGTGAATTGGGTTCACTGTGTGCTCAGGTGGGGGACCGGTGTGGATGGAAAGTGCCTGTCCGGGCTCGTATTTGCCTTGGTTAGCGGGTGCCCTGGGGGGGGGGCGGGGAGAGGCTGGCGAACGAGGTGAGGTCCGGCGGCCCGAGCGGGCGGTGCTAGGGGGTGGCGCTGCAAGGCTCCAAGGGCGGGACCCCTCCCCCAGCGGCGCGGGCGCTGGGCTCGCCGGGCGGGCCCACTCCCAGCGCGGAGGAGGCCACAGCGCCACCGCCGGCTGCTTTGCCGCCGCGCTTGCAGCGACGCTGGCACTGACTCCGCCACCACGGTGGGGCCGAGTCCACCAAGAAGCAAGGGTGGGAGGGTGTCCCGCCCCCGCACCGAACTGTCCCCCACCCCACCTCCGCCGCCTAGGCGATCCCGCCCCAGCGGCGGGCCGGCCGTATGCTGCAGATGGTGAAGACCCTGGCCCAGTTCACCATCGCGCTGGAAGACATGCGCGAGCTGGGCCCGGCCGCCGCCTCCGGGGAGCCCGCCGAGGGCAGCGGCGCTGACTCTGAGGACCACGGGGAGGCCCAGGTACGAGGAGGAGGAAGACAAGCAGGACGTGGGCCCTGGCCTAGGACTCGGGACACTCAGGGAGGCCAGCATGGACAGACATGATGGCACACAGGGCTGAGAACTCCCATCAGGGCCCCAGCACCCTGGCCTCTGAACTGGGGGCCCTGTGATCTGCATGAGCCCTGGGAAGTTGAGGGTGGGGACCCTTGGCAGGGGGTGATGTGGTTGGCAGGGTGCTGAGGTCAAGGCCTGGTGACAGCTTGTGGAGTGGGTCAGGATAGAAGCAGATTTGTTGTCAGAGATCTGCTGGAGCCACAGACAGGCGGCAGGACTGTGTGTAGGGTTTCTGAGCCTTGTAGCTGACCTGGGGGGCGGGCACGTGCTGGCGAGTGCTAGCTTTGTCTGCCCCTTGCCTTCCTCTCCCTGATAGACCTTCTGAACTTCAGAAATAATTCTAGGGGGGAACTGTGGTGTCCTGTCCCCCATCCTGGTTTGCATCCAGTGGGGGAGGGTAGGCCTCCGGCTGTTGCTTTGCTTCTGCATGTCTTGTTGGGCCTGGACTCTGATTGTTCCACTCATCCCACCCAGTGGAGGCGGCATCACTGTCATCTCCTGGTGCTGGGCAGTGTTGTGTACCTCTGCCGTCCTCCACTCTGCGTTCACGCTGTGCACATTGGCACTGTCTTTTGGTTGGGTGGCCCTGGTCACACTGAGAGAGGCCTCCCTCCCTCTTCCCCCTGCACTACCCCCTTGTTCCCACCTCAGGGCCTCATGTAGTGACCTAGGGTTGGGCTGCTGAGGGGGGAGGGGCTCTGGAGGGACGCTGGGCCTAAGCGTTGTCCCGCCCAGAACAGGTGGGCCTGCTGATCTGGTTGACAGCTGCGTTGTCCTTCTGCTCCTGCAGTCTCTTCCATCCCATCCACTACTCCTGTGTCTGGGCACGTGCAGAAAGAAGGGGGCTCATGTTGTGACAGAGATGGCCTTGCTTTCTGTGTCTTCACCTGACAGTTGAGTGACAACCCGGTGTGCTTTGCAGCAGGGAGGAGGCTGGGAAAGGCAGGCATTGCAGCGTCAGCCTCCCCGGCTCCCTCCCCCTCCATAGTCCCAGTGCCAACCCTGTCTCTCAGGAAGCCTCTCTGACCATGACCCTCATTGTACCCACTGGGCTGGGCCTGGCCAGGAGAGGTTTGGCGGGGGAGTGGCTGAGCGGCCCAGCTCCCAGCCTGGCTGTCCTGCTGTCCGAAAGTACTCGTCGTGGCCTCCTGAGGCAGATGAAAGTGGACAGTGATGGCCGCTGTGTGTTGACACTGGGCAGTGCCCTGCTCTTGCTGCTATGATTTTACAGCCCTGGGAACAAGGACATGGAATGATTAATTCCATTTCCTAGAGGACAACATGGAAACAGAGTAGTTCGGTGATTGCCAAGGTCGCACGGCCAGGGAGGGCAGAGCTAGGGCTCTTTTGCCTACTCAGTCTGGGTGAAAACTTGGGGTACTGGGACCCTAAGACTCAGCGTGATGTGACTGAGGAGACTGGTCTTGGCTCTGTCAGTCACCGACTGACCTTGTGCTAGCCTTGTCACCTCTCTGACTTGACTACTCTCTGCAGGGAAGATGACAGCACCTCTGTCGTGGAACTGAAGTCTGAGGCTAAAATGAGGCAGTGTCTGGGAGATGTAGAGGTGTCCTGGGGACAGAGAGTGGGGGTGGCATCTAGGCTTTTTCTTGGCAGCCCCTCCCTACTGTGTGCCATCTCATACCAACTCCTGCTGGAAGCTGTGGCCTCAGACACTAGAGGAGAGATGGCAGTTGGGTACCGTGTGGCAGCACCTGGTGAGGACATCAGAGCTGGCAGGAGGGGGTAGCCTCAGGGAATGTCACTTACCTCACAGCCAGAGTTTCTGGCGTGGGAGCCCATGTTTCTGAGTGTGCCTCATGGTAGAACACTCAGCCTGAGCCCTGAGTCCTTGACTCCCCTGGGTCAGTGGGAGGTGGTCCTGAGATATGTTTAACTGAGGGAGAAAGGCGCTCAGTGGGCTGGCGGAGCACCTGACCGCATTCTCCAGCTGGCTTCCTGCAAAGCCTTCGCAGCACAGGGCTCTCCTGGAGGAGTGGAAACCCAGTCTCCTGTGGGGCCTGGGTGCAGGGAGCTGAGCCATCTCGTGGGGACTCTGTCTAACCTGTGTCCTGGGGTTGGAGGTGTCGGTAGCTACGTCTTCTTTTCCAGTCCTTAAAACGAGGAGAAAGCCCTCTGCTTCACAGGATGATCAGGAAGGTTAGGTAACAGAAAGAAAAATCATATGGTCAGAAAGCATGACCAATTTAGGTTTTTTTAAATCCAGACACGTTGCCATGAATTCAGGTCAAAACTCTCTGCTTCAGTGTGAACGCACTTATCCCGTAGTTCTTGCCACTTTCTGAAGCAGTTCTGAAAGTCCTCCTCTGTGTCTTTAGTTTTGCAGTTGGGGCTGCCTTAATGTCCTGCATTGAATAAAATGTTTACTTTTACGGTCATTTTGACTTTGGGGAAGAGCTAGAAGTCTCACAGCACCAGCTCCGGTGAATAAGGTGGATGAGGACGCACCATCATGTTTTCATGAGTCTGTCTTTGCGTTGCATGGCACTCAGCAGCAGCGATGTATTTGGTACAGGGTCTCACTATGCAGCTTCGACTTGTAGTGATTCTCCAGCTCTCAGCCGCCTCTGCGCTGGGATTACAGGCATGCGCAACCACGGCCCAGACTCAGTTGCTGGCTCAGCGTATCCTGGGATTGGGGCCATCGCCGCATCTCCTGCACTTGCCAAAGCAGGTGCTTAGTCCGCTGAGCTATCTCGTGACTCCTAGCATTCTTATTTTTTATCACTCCTTGTAAAGATACTCAGGAAAGATGACCTCCAGCACTGCCTCAGAAAGTGGCAAGAATGATGGAGTAAGTGTACTCAAAGTGAGAGGGAATATTTTGAGTATTAATATTACTGTAATTTTTAGAAATTTCAACATTCACCATATTATATTTTCATCATCCCTCATAAATTGTGTAGGACAGTGCCTGGCCATTGGAGGGCTTAGCAACCTTTTATTTTTTTATTTTATTTTATTTTATTTATTTATTTATTTATTTTTGGGTGGAACCAGGGATTGAACTCAGGCCCTTGCGCTTGCCAGGGAAGCGCTTATTCCACTGAGCCATCTCCCCGGCCCCTCAGCAACCATTTAAAAGAGAATTGGGGTTCACCCTGGTCTGACAGTGGTCAAACCCTGGCACTGCTCAGCTGTCTGACCTCCAGCATGACTTCACCTTTCTGGGCCACAGTGTTGTCATCTGTGGCAGGGTGACAGTGTCTACTCTGAAGGCTGGTGTGGAGCTCCGCCTGATGTAGGGTGTCGCCACAGTACCGAACCAGAGCTGGGGTTTTCAGACTTGGCAGATTTGGCACCTGGAGTGGTGGCCTGGAGGCATCTTCCTTTGCAATGTGAGAGTCTATTGATTTTTTTTTTTTTTTTTAGTCCTTCTCAAGATCCCATAGGAGAGGCAGGAGGTAAATGAGAGGTCTCAGGTCTGTCCTTAGCTGCAGCAGGGAAGGGGGTGGAGTGGAGAAGGAGAGCCTGACTCTGGGGATCGTTGTATTTGAATGTTGGGGGCCCCTGCAGGGGGAGCACCTGAGTCAAGGCCTGGCCCAGTGTCATCCAGGATGCTTTGGAAGAATAGCAGGAGCCATGTGAATGGAGAACCTGCATTGTGGCTGCTGGTAACAGGATTCAAAGGGACAGTGGCACTCACCTTCTGCTCCTGTCCCCATAGGATATGCGGAAGCACGTGACCATGACCCTGCTGGACACAGAGCAGTCATACGTGGAGTCTCTGCGCACCCTGATGCAGGTGAGACCCCACCCAGGCACCTGAGAGCAGCCATTCCAAGCTGATGGGCAGTCAAATCGGTGGGAGCAAATGTCTTGGTCCAGCGAGCTGTGGGACACACTGCCACTCTGTGGAGAGCCTTGATACCATAGCCCCAGAGGGGAGGAGGCTCCCTCCAAGGCAGGAGAGAATGGAGGTGGATCAGGCCAGGCCACGTCAGCCCAGGAGTCCCCAGTTCTTTTCCATCCCACCAGAAGCCCTGGACTCCAGCTCAGTGCTGTGCACCCCTTCAGGTCTGCCCTCACTCTGTTCTGTGTGTTGACTAGGAAGGTGTTCGTTGAGTAGAACATAGTTTTTTGTTTTAGGTTTTGTTTTTGTCATTTTGAGATAGTGATTTGATGCACAGTTCAAGCAGGCCTTGAGTTCACTTTGTAGCTCCAGCTGGTCTTGAACTCACAGCAGTCCTTTTGCCTCAGCCTCCTGAGTGCTCGGATGACAGGTGTGCACCTCCACGCCTGACCTTGGAATGGAGTATCAGGCACCTGCTGTGACAAGCCCTGCTCTAAGTGCAAAAAGCAAAGGGTTGAGTGAGAGATGAGCTCCTGCCTTGGGAGCTCTAGTCCTGGTGGCGACATTCATGTGTTCATGGGACACTCCAGAAGCACAGGGTCAGCAAAGGATGCTGGGAGGAAGTGTTGGATTCTGCCAAGACTTGCCCTTTCAGCAGCAGGGTGTCCAGTGCAGAGCCACATAGGAGAGGGCCTGGTGCATTCAGTGGTCCATGTGCCTGGCATGGAACATAACAGGTTGATTCTATGGTGACACTGTAGGAACCAGAAGGGACTACACTGTGGGGGCACTGAGCATCAGGAGAAGGGTTTGGACTTCATCAGGGACGACCCTAAGGTATCTGGAAAGGGTTTTGAGCAGTGCAGGTGTGTAGCCTGCTTCATTCTTTATAAAACCTGTGTGACTGTTAGGAAGATGGGTGGCAGAGGAGGAGCTAGGGCCACTAGATCAAGCAAAGGCAGAGGAACCTGAGGGAGCTGGGGCAGGACTCTTAAGAGGCGAGGTGGCCAGGCTATGTATGGTGACTGGTGGGATTTGGGGGAGCATTACGGGAAGCCCAGCGTTGTATCTGGGCTCCTGGCTTGGGAGAGTAGGGCACAAGGGAGAATCGTGAGTTGAGGTTCAGACATGTGGGTTGAGGGCAGTCCAGAGGCCAGACACAAGTGCTAAAGTGGGGCCTACAGCAGTGGACGAGGAATTTGCTCAGGCCACCCAGGAAAGGCGGTAAAGGTGGAGGCCTGGAAACAACTGTTGTACTCCATCAGTCAGTCATTCAGTCATGCATTCACTGCACAAATCTGTGAGGCCTTGCTGTGTACTAAAGAGCATTCTGGTGTATGTTGGGGGGCGGTGCCTCCAGTTCAGTAGTAAGATGAATGACAGGGCCTGGTTCCTAAAACTCATAGTCCACGGCAAAGGCCCCAGTCACCAGCTAGACAAACCACTCATGACGACAATTGGTGACAGAGAAGTTCATGAGAACACAAACACGTAACTGATGTATCTCAGCCGGAAAAGAAGGGCAGTGCTGATGTGATTGCAGCAGCAGTGAGCCTCGAGAACATGCTGCTAGATGAAATAAGCCCGTCCTCCGGGGCAATACTGTACGAGTCCACCTACATGAGCTACCTGAGTGGCGAAACGTAGGGACAGAAGGTGGAATGATGGCCGCCAGGGCCTGGGGAGGAGCGGGCCGGGAGGAGCGACTCTGAGTCCATCGTCAGCTTGGGAAGATGAAAAAGTTCTAGAGCTGGATAGTGGCCTTGATGCCACCACAATGGAAGTCACTTGGCATGAGGGTACTGATCACTGCGCTTAGAAATTATTGAAATATAGGGCTGGAGAGATGGCTCAATGGTCTAAAGCACCTACTTAGAACAAACTTAGCAAAGCACAGGGACCGC